CTGATGACAGATCAAAGGTCAAAGAACTAATGATTTAAAACACATTCCAACCTGTTGATATAGTGTCTGCTTACATGACCCTGACTTCTTCCCAGTTCTTCAAGGGAGGAAGATTCAGTTCAAAGTCAAAGGATTACAGAGCATCCCAAAATCTAAACTTAGGAAGCCTCCCCCCTCCCTGTCAGGCTCACTGAACTGCAGATGATGTAGCCTTGAAAAGTCATCACATAAAAAACCCAGACCTGCGTCTGGAACCTGAACATACCACTGAGGATTCTGCAAGTTAAGCTCCAGAGACATCTAACTGAAGAAAGGAAAATTAGCACATTTATTTCATAATTAAGAAACTGCTTTATGCTGATTTATAACAATGTCTAATAGAAGCTTAATGTTTTTTTCCTGTGGAATATTCTAGGTTTGTGGAATGCTTCCTGGATGCCAAGACTTGGCTTTGCCTTATAATTAGCAAGACTATTAGCAGGTAATTGCCTTTTGATATTTGATATCACTATAGCATGTGAAGCATTGATACACAGTGAAACATTTTCACCTGACCTTTATTCCACATAATTGCAGATATCCCATTCCTGGAAGTGTTCAAGGCCAGGCTGGACAGGGCTTTGAGCAACCTGTTCTAGTGATTTGGCAAGCTGGCCCATGGCAGAGGGGCTGGAATGACATGATTTTAAAGTCCCTCCCACCCCAAACCATTCCAGGATTCTGTGATAGTGAGGACTAAAAAACTTAAGGACACCATCCATATTCTTATGGCAGGATTGCTTAATTATGAGATTAAATTTTTGTTTAGTCTACATTTCTATAAAAAATCTAAGTTTTACAATTCATATATGACATCACAAATCTACTATTTGAAACACTCCCACCACAAACACTACACTATCTTGCTAAGATAATTCAGCCAATCTCTACATGCACCAAAATCAAGCTATGTAAATTTTTACATTGTTACTATGAAAGCTTAAAGCTTTTTCTGTTAAGCAATACAGTGTACTGAAACCAGCTTTTCCCTCTAACCCAAAAGATGAATCACAGGCTTAATAATAAAGCCTTATTATAGCAATTTTGCTAGCCTCCAAGTTTCCTCTGCTAGTATATGCAATAGGGTAAAGTGAACTGTAATCAACTGACAATGGTTGAAAATTATCATTTGTATCAGATCACAATTTAAATTGAGATATTAAAATCTCTGCTCATGCACATTGTAATTTAGGGCCTGATCCCACACACATTTACATATGGAACAGCATTGCAGTGAGTAGTCTTAGTTTTTGCAGAAAAGTTCTTCATGTACATAGATGCTTACAAGAAAAGCTTTTACTTCTTCATAAGCCACTAATTAATTCTTGTTAATGGTAATGTTTATTTCAGACAAACTCAATGATGTCTCCAGCTCAACCTCCTCACGTAACCTTCCCTCCTCTCAGCCTGCTGCTTCTATTGCCTCGGAAAGATTAACAATGTGGACCGGTAAGAGTAATGCACTCCTGCTAAAACAGACTTTAAAGCTTATTTATTACACCAGGAGGTAATGCAGAATCCTATTGAATTTGCATTTGTAACACAAACCAGTGTAATTCCCTGGCAAGGCAAGGGACTTTGTCATGAAACAGCCAAAGACAACTGCTCTGAAGGCTGTTCCTGGAGCTGCACTGCTAAATGTCTCTTATCCCTCCTCGGTCCATCATTCCCCTGTTAACTCCAGCTCCCAGTCAGCTGCTGCCTGCCTGAAATTCTTTGCCTATCAGGAGAATGGCAGAGCTCACCTTCCTGGGGACAGCCACACCATTTTCAGCCTTTTTGTTTTCCTATCAGCTCTTGTCAGGAGCCACAAATAGAAGAGGCCAGCAGACAGGACCCAGCAGCTGGAGACACAGGGCTCTCCAAGGCAAACCCCAGCCAGGTCCATCTTATCTGGGGTCACGGGAACACGTCAGTCAGTGCAGGTTTTATTGGTCATCTCTGGCAGGAAGCAGCTCCTCTGTTCTTAGAAAGATCCCAGAGATGGACAGAGCTCCTGGGGAGGGAGGGCGGCTCTCTGCTCACGTTACGTGACGCACGAGCCTGTCCCGAGCTGGCTGATGCTCATGGAGATGAAAGTCACCGTGCTCCTGCAGTGCCACTGCCACCACTGACACGCATGCCAAGCACTCATGGAGTGCCTAAGAGCCTCTGACACAGCCTAGGGGAGCAGCACTACAAGCACATCCAATACACTTAACAGTATGATGCCAAAGCGAAGTCGAGAGTGTGAACGTCAGTAATAAAAAGGAATCTCATACAGAGCAAAGAACAGGATCACACAAACTCTGTGACTCTATGACAGCCTTATCAAGAAATGGATTTTTCCCACATCTTCTAAGTCTGTGGGTAAAAGTTCAAACACTTTCAGCAGGTATGAAAACAGACAAGTGTGAGCTTGTTCAAATCTTTCATGCTATAGATGGGAGTTGCAGTCTCAAGAGCAAAGTTTAGTATACAAAAAAGAAAAGATAACCAAGCCACCTGTGGATGCAGCTGATACATCCTGGTCCCAGTATCTGTTGGTTTTGCTGCCTAACAGCACACTTTATAAACTGAGGAGGGTCTAACTCCACCTCCTGTAGAGTTGCAGTCATGTCATATTAAAAACCCATCAGACTAAGAGGGAAGAAAACCACTTACTTGAACAGCTGTGTCCCACTTGTATAAACCATATGGTCAGACAACAAGCAATGAGAGTAAATAACTATGTGGCTTAAACAAAAACTGCACTCAAATAACAATAAACAAGATCTGCAGCTCAGGTAAAACATTCAGAACAGAACTTGGAGTACCCTCCTATACACAACCCTTTCCTTTCTCCTTCTGAAGACAAATGAACTCTAAAAAGATAACACTCAGACAACAGACCCAACTAATAAGGCACAGACTGAATGAACAGCATGAGAAAAGTCTCTAACATTCAGCTCTGGCCCTTCTCAGTTCAAACTGGATTTCCTTTCCTCCATTTCCTTAACAAGCTAATGGTACAAATCATAGTTTCATTTCCCCGAGCAAGAATTATTTCTATAGCTCTCCCTTCTCTGATGATCTCCATGCAAGCACTCATAAGGTCAATATTATCAGAGAATCTTAAACTGTCATCGTAAACAGAAGCTACAATAAGTTGAGACATTCCTCTAGGGAAGGAAAGAACAAAACCAGAAAAAGTATACTAGTAAATCCAGTCTTGCAACAGAATAGTCAAAGCACAAAAGCAGCTTATGAGTAAGTAACTAAAACACAAGTGAAAGAAGAAAGTAGACCTCACCCCTCCTAAAAAAGGCAAGATTAATGTGGTGCATTCATCAGGACAACAATTCCAAAGCCCTGCTCCATCTGCCCCCTTCTTTATCAGGAGCTCCTAAGGACTCTGTTTGCTGCCTGGCCTGAATTACCATTGTCCTTTGTGCCTCAAAGGGTCTCAGGGGCCTGATGCTGAAAATATCCTAATCCAGTATCTTCTGTAAATTGAGACCACTACTCAGTATGGACAGGAACAAGAAAATAAACAAATAGTTGCTGGTTTTGAACTGCTCAAGGATTATATGACATCAAGTACTGCTTGAAATGCAGCAGCTGTAATGGAGAGAGAGAGATATGCATTTCCCCAAGCATTCCAGAAATAGGGCAGACAGAGCTCCACGGTGCCCTCTAGGATGGGCTGGTGCCACTCCAGATTGGCACAGACTAAATATGTAATATCTAGGTGAAAGGTGAGCATTTTTTAAGTTTTCAAGTTGTATCTAACTAAAAACGACAGTTAATAAACAATTTCTTAGATTCCAGACACTGATTTTTCAGCATACAAATAACTCAAGTGACCTTTTAAAGAAAACCATTAGTAACATAGGAAAACAACTAGTTCTATTTATCTGCTATATTCCATATATTTAGGAAGCGGAAGAACAGAGCAACCACACAAGTATTCCACCCACATTTGGAACATAAAAAATACAACTGAAACTCAGGAACTGGGCTGGAGACACTATTCAAAGTCTGAATCTGCAGTACACAAGCTAGATATGGACTTTCAGAAAAGATAATTTGGGTTTAATAGAAGTGGAAAACTATGTGGTGGTGATTCCATTGCTGTGCTTTAGTTGCCCAGTTACTCTGATTTATTCCAGCACCTTTCCCCATGTTTGCCACCAGCTCTGCCACGCTCACCTGGAGCCTGAATCCCTTTTTGTGCTGTATCCACCCTGAACTCAGCTGGGACTGACTGTGGCAGACAGTGGTTGCACATGGACCTGGGTATTTCTCCTTATTCTCACCTTTCATCCCACGTTTTGTGGTTACTCAATTCAGCCAACTCTGCATTGTTGCTCATTAAACAGAAACTCCATGAAGGAGCCAGGGTTGCCTCCTGCTCCGTGGCACTCATCTTCAAAGGCAATGAATTCTCAAAGCATAGTTTTACAATTATTTAACGCTTCATTAAACCTCTGTTTTGTAAAAAAACACAGTGAGTCTTTGTTGTGGTCACAGAGGGCTCAGTGGCATGAGCTGGAGGGGCCAAGAGCCCCTCAGGTCCTCCCTCTGTGGAATGGGCAGCACTACTCCCATTCCCAAGGCAGCTCCATGGCACAGAGCCTTAGAGCACCTTTGCAGAACATTTCTGGTGGGTTTTTTGAAAGCAGGTACTTTCAGCAGTAAATTGAGTACAAAGGACCTTAATTTTCATAACTGTCCCTAATGAAAAACAGTCATTACTATCAAGAGTTTAAAAAAAAAATCCAGATCCTTGAAAAAACACTTAGACCAACAACTACAAAAATACAGAATTTTCCTAAGTATCACCGCCTTTCTTTACCCTTCCCACCTTCAAATCCCTCAGGTACTGAGCAAAGAGAATACTTTTAATGGATTGGTGGCAGGAAGCACAACCTCCCATCAGTGATCCAGGGCACATTTGCACAAATGGAGTCATTTCTAACAGATGAAAATCCAGGTTTTACCTTTGCAGGTGAAGCATTTGATGTGGAAGTGTCTGGCCTGAACTCGGAGCACTTCACCTTTACAGGGCTCCCCACACTTGTGGCAGTGGATGACTGGCTTCTCAGAGGGGTGGTGGGGCTCCTGAGGATGGGCCACTGCAAAGAAAACAAACAAAAAATATTTCAACCCAAACAAAAAGAGTATTTTCTCCTATCCAAAACTCTGTGTTCCCAGACACTTTACACCATGTATCTGGCCACATTTTATGCTCATCTGAAGAGTTACCACCATTTTATTTCAATATAGTCTTTTCATAAATCAGTAATTTAAGACAATCACATCAGCTACTGCTTCTTTCCATTGAGGCTGCTACAGAAAGATGAGGAAAAACTCCCTCCACAGTGTCAGTGCCACTGCCATTTTCTTTCCAAGAACACAAGTGTGTGCAAGCCATTGGATGAGCACATAAGGAAAGCACAAATTAATTTAATCCAAGAAGGTATATAACCCAAGCAAAAAGGATGGAAGGAAAGCAATTCCAAATCAAGTTCTGGGAAACCAGATGAACCAGATAGTCTGTATGCAAATGGCTACACTAAAAATAAACTACAAACATCTCCTTTTTGCTACAGCAGATACCTAATGCAGGGAAAGCACTCCTGAAGAGAAAAGAAGCCAATATTAATTGTCTCTACTCCCATCAATTCTAGCAGAAATTACTCTCTGGATGCAAATTAGAGATACTATGAATAGGCAGAAACTACCCACCTATTTGCAATATTGTCAGGGAGACACAATTCCAGGCACTGGTAATCACCTAACCACCCAGAGCAGAGCTTGGATAGGAACAGGAAAAGTTTGTGGATTTCATTGTTGTAATAAAAGTTTAATTGCTCCACATTTGACTTCTGTAAAACATGTTTAACTTTCTCTTCAGATGTGGCAGCTTGGGGCCCTAACAGAACAGCACGGGTGTAAGCTGGAGCAAGATTTCATCTCAACTGAACTGTTTGAAGTGGAAAGCATTACCCAGAATGTTCCCAAACAAACCTATGTTCCTTCAATTCTCCCTCCCACATCCCATTCTAGCAGTAGGAAGCCTTTCTCCTTGTAATATTGTTCTCAAACTAGTGGTGCTCATCAGAACATTTCAGAGAAAACACAGCTCTGCCCACGCCTCTGTCTTTATACCACTCCTGTCCTACTTTTCCTGGCCTGCACAGGACTGAGTGCTGATACATCACTCTCACTGTCACTGGAAAACATCTTCAGAATTTTCTCGAGATCTTTTCCTTTCCTGATCAGTTCCTGGCATCACCCCAGCCAGGACTATGCTGTTTTTCAGGTTACTGCTTATGCAGCAATATAACAGACACCTTGCTCATTTTACTGCACCAGATTCCTCCCCTTCTTCAGTGGATTTCTAAGGGAAAAGCTCCATGAAGTCTTTTTATATAATTCTCCCTTATAAATGCCTTACTGAAGAAATGCTGCTATCATTTTGCATTACATAAATACAAGATTAATAATAAAAAAGCTGAATATGTGATTAGGGGAGTAACAGAATCAAGAATAGAGAATAAAAAAATATTCTAAGCAATTTCTGTTATAAGTCCAGCCAGCCTAATATGGTAACCGTTATGCTTTTCTTCCTATCACCACTCATATCTCCAACCCCAAACTTCAAAGAAAATGGTTGAATTCTTCTACTCAAGCTCAATGTTTTTAATACCTCTTTTTCTGGTAGCCTCACTTAAACTATTTCCCCTGAGCAGTTATTCAGCCCATCCTGGAGAACAGAATTCAGCTGGTAATGCCAACCAGTATTTCAATTAGCAGCTCCAGTGGAGTAAAAGCTCACTGAATGCCTTACCTTGAGTGAACCTCATCTAATAGTCTGCACTGCAATACTGTTTCTGGACTGGAAGTTATTATTACAAACAAAACTATTCACTGACAACCAAAGAAATATATAGGAAAGAAGGAAAGAAAGAAAGAAGGAAAGAAAGAAGGAAAGACAAACATACGGAAGAGTGTTAACTAATTAAATTATTATGAGCAAAATTCCCTCTAAGACCCATACAGCCTGAGATGGGCCTGATGAAAGCTGAAGTTAATAGTGTGGGCTTTTAAAGTTGCTCACAAGAGGAAATGGATGAAGAATTTGGGAAAATGCTCTCTAAGGTTTATATGGTGCAATGTTAAATCTGTACCTGCAATATTCTGCTTATTCCATCTCACATGTGTAGGACACTCTGACATTCTGCACACCAGGTTCCAGATCTTCTGGTATTGATCTGAAACACAAGCCTCTGCTCTTTACAGCAGAGTAAATAACTATTTTCAAGGCTGGTCCAATGATGCAGCTTCTTTCCAGTTCTGCCTTTAAAGCCATTTAAATGAATACAAATACTGTTAGTTGCTATTTCCAGACTGATCTCTTAAGTGAAGCTAATTATGGTGCTTGTCTTACTGGCCTCCATTTAGCATTGTAGGTCAAAATTGAATAATTGACTTTCACCCTCCTGCAAGGAATTGCTTGTAAGCTTTTTCTTTTGGATGCACGCAACACACACAAGGCTGTTCACTGGCAGAGGTGACCTTTCACAGTTACCAGTGAGGACACAACAGGGAATTAAAGAAAAAAGAAAGAGAAATACCTTTACAAGCATTTTATTGGTATGTTTCTGACTGAAGTCCAGTCAGCTCACTGGACATGTCAGTTTTAAGCTGCTCTGGGTCTGGAAAGGTCAGAGACAGGAGCTGGATTCATCTCCTGGCAGGAATTTCACACCTTGAGAGAGTCCCTATTTCAGGCTCTGCTGAACCAACCCTCCCCACCACAACTGCAGGGTATCTTCTTAGGCATCCCAGACTGCACATGATGTAATAAGGCAACTCTAGATCATGTCTGAGACAATTACAACAGACTCCAGACAGTATAATCACTGACAGGACATGGATATAGAATCTGGATAACCCACATTCCAAGCCCTGCTCCACAACAGGTATCTGGGCTCTTTGGATATGTCCCCTAACCCAAAAGGAATAAAGCCATGCAGATAAGTTCAGCTAAGTCATTGAGCCTGGGACCTAAAATTAAAATTAAGTTACCTGAATGTTTTAATTTCTCTGTGTCTTCAGTAACTGTAACTCAGGTTAAGTATTTGCCAGCTCCAGTTGAGGATGTGAACTGAAACCTGTCTCCACACAAAGCTGTCACATCCCAGTTCAGCCCAACTAGCATGGGCAAGACAAGGTGCATGGGTGCTTTTGTGCTGGGCACTGCCTGAAGACTTTTATTTTTTATTAATGAATAAAATCTCTGGTCAGAAATACACAAAGAAAAACTTTTCAAGACAAGCTAGGTTGAGACTTCTACTCGAGACCAGCTTAAATGAATAATCAATGAATAATTAATGCTTTCTTAAACTCATTTAGGCTTCAAATAAGACAAATCAATGTCCCATTAAATATCCAATTTATCCAGAGTAACACATACACTGACTGGGACAACTGGGAAGTCTGGATTACATAATTTAAGTCAGGACGAAATAAAAAGAACAGAAAAGAATCAATAGCACCTTCAGCTGTGAAGGAAACAGTCTTTGTCACTGGAGTGTTGCTTTGTGCTAACAACACCATTATTTTTGTCATTCCTTATGTTTCCTTGTGAAACAAGCAATGTTGATTTCATTACATTTTGCAACTGCACTATATGGATGTAAATTCAAAGCAGCTCCCACAGCTTGAGAGTACTTGTTACTGCATTTTATCTAAACATCTCAAAATAATCCCAGACCTGCAAAGAAATAATTAAAAACAAAAAGAGACAGAAAAGACCACAACCCAGTGTTCATATGAGAAACCAAAGGCATTTTCTGTGCAAAATTAAAGACTTAATTTACTGTGCAAAGTTTACGACTCTTCTGCTGGGGTGCTTTCTTTACAGCAGATCATTGTCTGAGGGTTTAAAAACAATTATTTTTTGTTGCATGAGCTAGAAATTAGACCTCAGTATTTGTAACAAACCTTTCTGAAATGGAAATTACAGCAACTAGCTCAAGAGTAAGCAGCTGAATAAAGAGATAGAGAAAACAATGAAAATAAATACTGCAGCCTTCTTTATTGATGATTCTCCCTCTGAACACAGAACTGTTAGGAAATCAAAGGCTCAAGCTAAGGGATTGTTAGCTGCAGATTCTTGCTGGCAAGAATCCATGGATCTGCTGCAGGCCAGGAAGTACCTTGGCTTTTAACTGGAAGTCAGAAAAGCTTCTGGGAAACACCTTGCTATGGGAATGCTGCAAGGTGGAGTCAAAGAAAGTTATTTTTAGTTCAGTTCTACTCAAAAAAAGGCTTCCTCTGCATTTAAAGGTGATGATATGAGCTACCGCTCTTTTAAAAGTGAATTTTTATCATTTTTCCATTTGCATGGCTACCTCTACAAATAAACCTGAAGCTGTGCTCAATCAACCCTACCCATGTTGTAGCATGTGTAACTTCAAGCTTTATGCCAGGGTACAGAATCTCTGTGCCTTTTAGCTCCACAACCTCTGGGCTCTGTTGCACAGCACTGAGAAGAGGCTGTGCTCACTGCAGCAAGGGCAAGGGGATTCTCAGAATGTCACGGATTTTTCATTTATATCTTAGGAGTGGCCTGACACAGGCAGCATATTCTCTGAAATGCTGATTTTCAGCTACTATGTTTTCTTGGCTGGAGACTGAACTATTAAGGACAAAAAAAAAAAAAAATAAAGCACAGATGTAATGGTGTGAAACTACTCCAAGTTCTTTGCCTGTTTTAAAATTTCTTCACTTCTTTCTGCTTTTAGCAATAAAAGCAAAGGACTGTGCTTGAGATTGCCACGGTAGTAAATGCAACCAAAGCTTTCTACAGACAACTCTGTCTCTGCCCTCCATCTCTGTGTTACCTGACATGGCTTTGGAGATTTTGTCCCAGCACATGTCACAGCTGAGATGGTCATGATACACAGAGTGTCACCATACAATGCCAGAAAGCTTCAACCCATACAGAGTAACACCAGACCACTTCAGCAGGCTGCAAGCATTGGCCCTTCTTGTTCTTTAACCCAACCTTTTATCCCCTCCTGTTGATGCACTGCCCCTGTGTGCCCTCTGCTCCCTGTGGTGG